TGATCATCGTTTGTAGTTGGAGGATTGTCTTGGCCAAGTCCACAGACACCCCGGGGCGTCTGCTTGGGTATCTCCTCGTCCTCGCTTTCTTTGGGTGTGTGTGGAACTGTAACTAAATAAAAGGAATGAGATGCTAGACAGTCATAGTGTATTCTTAATACTCTATGTATAGGGTTTTAAGAGATTGTATCTATAAATCTTTACAATTTTAGATATTTTAATAAGGTTAAAAAATAAATAAATCAAAGACAACATAATGCTAAAATTGCTAGAGATAAATATTTTAAAATAATAAAAACCTTTTGACCAAGTTAAGCTATTCCCTTCTATTGCTTAAAAATACAATTTATCTGTAATTATTTCAACATGTTATCTATAAAATTTAACAAATATTATATTTATTCTCTTTATATTTCATTTAGCTATATTTTCTCGAAACAAACTTGAACTACAAATAGTTAAACATACCCTAACCCATCCGCATCACCATAAAAAGTGAAATATTTTCTGTAAGCTCACTTAGCGCCTCCAGCCAAAAGTCGTACATTTTCATCACCTGGCCGGGAACAGGATCAGTCTCATGGAGCCACAGTTCATAAGCCAAGTTCTGGCCAAGTTCTGGCCAGGTCCAAGCTCCATCCAAGTTGTCGTCGCCAACGTCGTCGTCGTCTGGATGCAAACGTTTTATGGTCTGCGGCCGGTCAAGTGATGCATTTTTCATGACCAGTTTGTACGATTTCCTTTCCGCAAACGCACCAAGCATTTTCATGTAATTCAATTCTGGATTTTCTCTCCCCACCCACTTTTTTGTTCCCAATGTGTTTACAATTCTATTGGCCATGCACTTGGGGTCTGGGATATTGGTTTCGGGTCGGCTGTTTGGGGGCTAATATCGAAGAGTGGAACCAAGCTGCGTTAACATGAGCCAAGTCTAATGAAATACGACATTTGACTCGTGCTGGGGTCTCGCTTACGTTTTATAGGCGTGGGATTGCTCTGGGCCAAATTAATAAGGAAGAAGAAAAAGGGGAACTAGAGGCCTCGAATGGAATTTCAACAAAGTGGAGCAATGTGAGGGTACTGAGAGGAATCTTAAGTGGTTTAGAGAAGAGAATTTTGAACACTTTTCTATCTGAATGATTTGTTTTGTTATATTTTGTTTAGCAGGGAAGAAAAGTTATTGAAACAAACAAAAAGCGAATAGATTTCTTAAAGCATTGATAAAGAGATCACGCTTTAAAGTAAGTAACAATGTTAACGGTGATTTTAAACTTAATTTTGACCAAATAATACATTTTATTAACACAAAAATATATTTTAAAGTCTTATTTTAAAGAGGATTTCTTGGTATTCTATTTCCAGTAATTATTTGGCCTAATCTTGTACCAATCGGCTGAATCAAAGGCTTAGAATTCGGCGCGTGCCCGACTGACTGACTGCCTGACTTCCGCCTAATTCGAGTTCCAAGTCCCAAAAAAACCTCTCGATGAGGGTTATAACACTCTTTTACCTTTTTTCCTAGTTAATATTCAAACTGTCGATCCATAGTGGTTACGTGTTTGAGTCATCCTAAAGTGCAACTGAATGTGGCATCGGGTGACTCGTTCCTTGCCCCAGCCACGCGACCGGCAAGAGTTCAAAAGTTAGACCGCAACTCTTAACTACGACTTGATATAGGCTTAAACCAAGAGAAAATGAGTCATCTTTTGTTAATATATGTGTATATTTACCCATTTTTGGGGAAATTTATAGGCTTTTATTGATGGGTTTTCCCATAACAATATGTGGGAATATTTGTAAATATTTTTTATATACGGATAAATATAAGAATTCAAAAAGATATTTGTGAGTTTATTGCACTTAAAAATATAAATATTTAAATAAAAATTTAGACGTATTAATATTTACTTCAAAAGGTACATTTTTCATTACATTTTATTGAAGTAAATTATTATGGCTTTTCATTAAGGTTTATTTATCGCTTTAGCTAAGCATTCAATCACAAATAATGCTTAAAATTTATCACAAAATTATTCAAAATATCTTAAAGTTTAAATTGTTCCCAATTCAGTAGCTTTTTGGCAATTAAATATATTAATTTGTATGCAATTGTTAGCCTCTTGCTGTCTTACACCTCTTGAAATCGATTCGACTGAAAACTCTTTTTGGCTAATCGAATATTCATTGCATATAACGCACGACTTGTTTATGCTTCGTTTCGTTAAATGGTAATTTCCTTCCCATGTCCCATAGCTGAAATTCTAAGCCAAGAGTTGAGGAAAACAAAACAACATCAAAAAAACCAAAAGACACGAGTCCTGTTTCCCAGTCATTGACAGCAATTTGATGTTAAGTGTGCCGGCTTCTGGGGGCGAAAGTCGTGATTTATAGGGCTATTTAGGCCAGACCAATAAATTCTCTAAAATATGCAAGAAAATTACCAAAATAAGTAGAATTTAAATATGTTTTTTTTAACTCTAAGAGAATGTAGAGTTTTAGTGTCAAAAAGTGTTCATAAACAAGACAAGAAATCTTTATAAATTAGGTGTTAGAACTTTGTTGTTAATAATATGTATAATTATTTAACTAAATCATAAATGTTTCACTGACAATATACTTAATATAATCTTCAAAATTTAATTTCTTTTATTACTAATAAATAAAGGTAAAATATGATTTGACATATTGTAAGGAATGTGTTTAATTTTCTCTTTAATTTTTAAAGAAAAGATTATCTTTAAGATAGGTGAGTTTCAACTTTACCCAAATAAATAGTGAAAAACTAAATTAATCCAAAATAGTTTCCTATATTTCCCTTATAGCTCTTCCGAATCGTGATAAAAATGCTCCACATTTTCCGCAAATAAATGCAATCAATCTCCATTTCCCACATTCGAATTAAACCTAATCGAATGCAATTAAAGCGACTCACTAAGACCCACAACACACTCACTCGCACACACGCATTGAAAAGAAAAAATCTGGAAAAAATCAGATTTCTATTGGCTCGCACCGTTTAAGCCGCCTTTTGCGTTGACCACAAAACACAACGAAGGCCAAAACAAAGCGAAGGGAAGGAGAACAAAATTGTAAATAGATTTTAAACGAGCATTGCCAGCGGCAACCAATCAAAAACCAGTATAGCACACACATAAACCGGCCCACACACACTCCCATACACACACAACCACATACCGCCAAGTGAGTGTTAACCAAACAAATGAGCAGAGTTGCCAACATATCGAAAAGTTAGTTAGTTGGCTTAAACTTAGAGCTGACTAAGCTCTCCACACTTGGCCAGTGATTATGTAAAATATTCACAGATTATATCTGTATTTCCCCCCATTGACTGTTTTATTATAGCATTTATCGGCCTTAATTGATTTATGGCTAATTTGAATAGATTTACAGCTGAGTGGGTAGCGTAAAAACCGGCAACAGTCCGTCGGTGTGTGTGTGTGTGTATGAGAGAGTGTGTGCGTCTCTTAACCTGTTGACTGTGTGTGGAAAGGAGGCGTCTACAAAATGATCGCTACGCTGCCTGTATTGGTCAGTTGGCCAAGACCGTATCAGTGTGTGTTGGCTTGTTTGTGAGCAACCGTATCATGAGCGGGCTATATACACTTCAAGAAATTGATGGAGTTTTTACTAAGAAAATTAATTACCAAAATATAACATATAATATAACGTAATTTTATTTGGAATATGGATTTCTTTATAAATAATGCAGGGGAACATTCATGATCTTACCAGATTTTAAATATATAACTTGTATAATGTTTATTCATGCAAGGTGTAATATTTTATAACTAATAAATAAATAACAAATCAAAATCAATCTAAATAACTTCGATTTAATAGCTCTGCTGTTTGTAGCAATTTAAATAAAATAATAAAGTGCCAGTAATGGTAATTAAGTATCCTGTAACCAAATCTTTATGCGTTTATTAAGACAATTAACATAGTCATGAGATTATTTTCTTTATAGATTAAATACCATAACTTTAAAACCTAAATGACATAAATACTTTTAATATATATATAGATTCGATTTCATAACAATAAAATAAACCATTTATAAATATATTTATGTTTTTGTATTATGCAATTCAGTCCCGAAAAGTAACTCCCTTTATATTGGCTTTACTTATAGATATACTTCAAAGTAATGATATTTTAATAGTCCACCCATAACATCTATTTTTAAATAATTTCCTCTTTCCACTTATTAACTTCTTATCCCAATTTTCTGCCAGTGTACAACCGACAACCTCATTGGGTGAGCCACCTCTAAAACAGGGACGTGCAGAGCACAGCTGGGTACTGAGGGGGCACTGGAGACTAGGAGAATTTTGGGGGGATCGGAGCGAGGGATCTTGGCCCGATCCGAGCTGCGAAGTGAACGAAAGCCGCCTTACCTGTTTCGAAATCAAGTTTACCTTTGCCACTTCTGTGTCGCTCCGGTGATCCGCACAGAAAGGTGCACGCGCGCATTCAACACGGTTGTGTGGCCCCGCTTCGAGGCTCCGTAGGTTCTTCTGTGTGTGATTTCGTCGACTTATTCGATCGGAAACGGAACGGATTTTCAATAGGCCAAAAGACCAAAAAAAAGCCGTCGGTATATTTTACTAAACAAATGAAAAAAAACCAAGTTTAATATCGTCAATCACGTTTACATAGTGCGTCATTCGGGCCATTTGATTTGCTAATTCTGAGCCATCTCATCGCTTTTCTCGCAAAAGAAACCCCATAAATCTTGATCAAAGCAAAAGTGTTGTTGAATATGCAATGATTCTATGAATACATATGTAAAGGGAATACAAAAAAATAATAATAAAAGCAAATATTGTGCAATAGAAACCGCGTATGGGATCTAATGTTATTAGCAAATAAATTTAAAATAATTAAAGTAAATACAAGCCATTGAGCAAAGTGTCAAACATTGTGGATGATCGAAGTAAATTATGAAATAATTATTATAATGCCAAAGCTGGCTTTATAACCCCAATGGATATCACAAATTGAATCTTTCGAGCTGAGAGAGGTAAGTTTTGGGACCAAGGTCTAAGCTACTCACCCGCACTGGCACTGGCACTGCCACTCGCACCCAAAATCAAATCATAATTTACCAATTTCATTATTAACTTTGATAGAAATCAAACAACAAAATACTCAAAAAAGCGAGCAAAAGCCAAAGCTAACCCAGACTCGAAACGAAACACAGACACACAGTTGTACAATGAGATATATCTGCAGAGTTCTTCATTTCATTCAATGACTTTTGGTGGTCCCTATTCAAACAACTCCAAACAAATTCAAGCATCGACTCGATGACACTCCAAACGTCAACTCGAACAAATTTCATATATATATGAGTTCACTTGACAATGAGTTGCAACAAAGACCCCAAAAACCAAAAACCAAAAACCGAACACCGAAAACCCAAAAGCCAACCAAGATGCTAACCCCACAGACGGTAGTGAATATGCGCACTCGAAATGGAAATTTGAAATTCACTTAACAAAACTAATTTCAATTGTTGCACTTTCCTATGTAGAATCCAGAATCTAGAGATTTTCGAGATTTTTCTTGGCGCCAGCCCAAGTGCCCTGAAAATGTGTTGGGTTTTGAGTTTGTAGTTTAACGAAAGTGATAGTGGGATGTTATGGATTTTATTTTTTAACTGTAGAAGGGTAGCAGGTAGATTGAATAATTGGAATAATTGGGGAAAAGTAATATGTAGGTCACTGTTTTAAATAGTTATACATGAGTTGTTTTTCAGAAAGAAATTTAAGCTCACAAGATTATTCTTTAGTTTAAATACTTTTTACTCTTTAAAATATAACAAACAAAGTAAATAAGTAATTAAGACTCCTTATTTTAATATTTTACATATATTTTATAAAAATATATAAAATATAATTTGTATTTGATTTGCCCTTTTTCTTAACATTTCCTGAACTCAATTCATATATAAAGCTGACTTTAAAATCTTTTAATACATTTCCGTAAGTTCTCAGTTTGGCTTCCTTTAAATTTATTAAGCTGATAGTTTTTTAAGCATTTTTAAATTCTATCTCAGTTAAAAAATTTAAAATAACATGAGGCTGTAATATTTCATATATAGAGTGAGGACACAAAATAAATTTTATGGGCTTTAAACATGTTCATTATATAGGTTATTAAATGTGATAAAAAGCAAAATTCTTATAGCTTTTGTCAAGGAAATCATTACCAGACTTGCCTTAATTCAATTTCAAACGGTTTTAAACTCAGCTTCAGTAAGTAAAATTAATTATTATTTAAAAACATTCCAGATCGAAGGACTCCCATTACGATTAGTGAGCATTTCAATAAATCTAACACCAATTTGTTTACCCATCGATCTGTAGATTTCCCTTTTGAAAATAAAACATTTATAAGCTTTAGCCAGTTCTCCGAAGCGAAATCTTAAATTGATTGATCATTATTTAAGACTTAACGAGTTTCAAATGTGATCAACACAGATCTTAACCCAAGGAGTGTTTAGTATTTGTGTTGTAAGACATTTCATTAACCCCTAGTAACTTATCCGGCATCGGGGGACCCGAGACCAAAAAGCCAGTCAAAGTCAAATGCCATAAATCATTTTCAACCGGCTCCTTATGCAATCGAAAAGGTACACAAGTATATATATATCTCCATAAAAAGCGCCAAATCATCAGAGGGCATTTGGGATACTCCGAGATCGGAGCGTAACAATTGTTCAAATAGGCAATAACAATACAAATCAGTTCCTCGGAGTCAATCGCCTTCAAAATACGCTTTTTGTGCCCACAGTCTCGAACAATGTCTGACAATAACATGGACTATTTCCATGGACTATATGTACTTTCTGATCCAAGCAGCAGAGCCTAATCAGCAATTGTTGTTTCATTTCATTAGCAAAGCGAAAAAAATAGAGTCTGCAGACTTTCATTAAGATCTACATATTGATTGATATTATCGTTATTTTTTGCCCAAATAACCGTGACAATAACCGAAAAAAACGCTCTGTCATTTCTGCTTTTAGAATTGCGTTTAAATATTTGCGAACGTGCGACATATCGCCACGAAATGTATGCGGATAATAAACGTGGCCTAGACAAGGTGACGGCAGCCACACCGCCCACCCTTCAGCAGCAAACCCATCATCATCAGCAGCAGCAGCAGCAACATCTGCATCATCATGTCCTGCAATTGCAGCAGCAGCAGCAGCAGCAACACCTCCAGCAACAGCAACATCACTTGCAGCACCAAATGCATACGCATCATAACTTTCAGGCACTTGAGGCACCAACAACATTGTCGCAGCAGCAACAGCAGCAGCAGCAGCACATGCAGCAGCAACAGTCGTCGCAGCAGCAGCAGCAGCAGCAACACACAACATCCCAGCAGCAGCAGCAGCAGCAACAGACAGCCGGCATGTTTACAAGGTGAGTTCTTAGCGCCAACACTCCCCGAGTGGCTTATCTTCCTCTGGGGGAAAACTGCGCAAACATGCAAACTTTTAATTTCAATTTGTTTCGCACGCTTCGATATTTGTCAATTCGGATTTGAAATACGAGGCCAAGTTCGCATTTGGCTAGCAGCGGAACTCCTTTTAGCCCAAGACGCTTAGCCAAAGACTCCTTTCCATTTCTTCGACTTGGTTGTCGTCGTTTTGTTTTTTGATTCGCATGGATTTTCACTGCTTTTGTTTTTTCGGTGGGTTCTTCTTCTGTAAATGCACGGCAAGAAAATAGGAGTAGGATTATCTACTTAAATTGTTCTCAAAGAATTCCATAAGCCTTTTATGGAATCACTATATTTCCTATGTCTTAATTAATATGATAAGTACGAAAATTGAATACGGAAAGAGATATAACCAGTAGATAGACTTTATTAAAATATTAATAGGAGATTGCTTTAGGCAAATTTAAAGTACATTTTATATTTACAACCCTTAGAATTTAATAATATATGTTTTCATTACCATTTAAGCATTTTAAAGTCTTGTTGTTTATGTACAATTTAACACGAAGAAGAACCATAAGTATACCCATTTTATTTTCCTTTTCAAACTAGGAAACTATTAGATTTTCCTAATTATCCTTCATAAGAGTGCCTTGAAGACCCGGTATTAAATGGTCTGTGCTTATTTCTCTCTGTGCTTTGATGCTGCTGCTCCTGCTGCCGGTTTTAATGGCCTCTTGTATTGGCAACTTGTAGTTCGCAGTTATCTGGCCCTCGTAATCTCTCTCTCCGGTCGGTCTGCGTACCCCCAGCGCCAATTCGCGAGGAGCCAAAAAAAAACGCGCAAAATTCACTCCGGAGCTGAAAGCTGGCTGGCTTACTGGCCATGCTGTGCCATTTTATTTAGCTCCAATTAATTAGTGCTTCAAATGTTTTGCCATAAGTTAAACCCGCACAGTGCGATTGACATTACCACGTTGGCAATCGGACGTCCACGACGACGGCGTCGTTGTTGGGTCCAAAAAAGGCGTCTCCACACCACGGCAGGAACCCCGGGAACCCCGGGAACCACCGACCGGGATCTTCGGACCGCCAATGGATCCGCAGACACTGGAGATGCCAGCCAAGTTAGGGGCACATCTCCTGGCTGCCGTTGCTTCTGAAATGTGTAAAACTCACGTGTGATGTTGTTGATGGCTCGTTCTTTGTCTGTTTTGAGATTTTTCCTGTGCTTTTTTTTTTGTCTCCGCCTTCCTTTAGGTGGAAAAATCTTCAGCCTTTGTGTGGGAGATTCTTGGGTAGGTGTTGCCTCTGTATTCTTTTTTTTATACATTTCATTTTAGGGTGGGTGTCATTTTCTGGAAGCTAAAGGAAGCGCTCATTTCAAATTAGAGCATTTTGTAGTAGCAACTGGGCTGGGACATTAACTTATTGATAAACTTTAGACAAAGACAATTGAGAAACCAATTTAATTAAACAGTTTATATGGTAGGTTAATTAAAAGTATCTTTTATAAGAGATACTTATTTAAACTAAAAAACAAAACCGGATAAGGTCCATGTGTATCAGTTCATTCATCTGATTTTTACGTGACCCACGAAACTATCAATTAGCATATGAAATTTTTGGAATTCCCAGCCACAAAATGAAGTTTCAAACTCTTTTTTCTTTCCCCAAAAGAAAAATACAAGAAATAAAAAAACAAGTTCATTGTTCGCACGACGAAGCACGCGCTTCTCTGGACAATTTGTAATGGTAGTAAAAAATCCGTCGGATTTCTATAAATATTTTCCATGCGCCAACGAGAAGTGCCAACAACACGCCTCGCACTGAAACAAATAACCGTTAAACAACGAAAACTATATCAATATGCTCTAAATAATAAATGACACTAATTAAACCCCGAAGAAAACCCGGCGTTTGTTGTTTTTAACACATTCGGCCAGAGTCGAGTCAACAAACCCCGAAGGCACCACACACTTCTCTAGCAAAAAAACAAAGATAGATATCCAAAGTCAGAGTCAAAGCCAAAAGATACTTTTCTCTGTCCATACCAAAAGATACATTTTGTAAGATGCATTTTCTGTTTGGCCGTTTTCCGAGTGAAACTAGCCGAAACCGTTTGCGTACGGATTCTGTTTGAGTTTTGCGTTTGTATTTGCGTTTGGGCCTGCTCCGTTGGTGTTAATTTTGGTAATTAGCATGCCGCTCGGACAGATACAATTTCGTTCGAGTATCTGTATCTGTAACAGCGCACCATCGGTGGCAGCAATTTTATGCTGCTAATTTCATTAACACATTTCACGAGAAAAGCGATCAGCCGAGCTGAGAGTTGAGAGCTGAGTTTTCGACCGTTGAAGCTATTTACCCAAGTTGGTCATTTGGTGCAGTAAGCCCGATGCACTAGATCATCATGTGGTCAATACACTGAAACAAAAGAATATTTAATTTAAGTACAAAAAGGTTGAGAAAATAGTATTTAAAATATACGAAATTAAGGAACCTTCTTACTAGGATTTATGAAAGAGGAGGATGTTACACCCTCTAAGAATGCAGATTGCATTAAAAGTTATAATCTTTAAACTTCAGGTCTTTCGATTTTCCCAAAATTTCCCTCTTTTACATAGAATTTTCTCACAGTGACTGACTTCCGTCATCTAATTTCTTAAATCAATATTTGGTGACGCGCGTCGAAACGGATTTCGGGCATTCCAAATCCAAATCCAAGCGCAGCATCATCTCTGATGTCTCCGGACGACTTTGTAGTGCTGGGCAAATAAGTGCGCCACCTCTGCCGAAGGGGTTTCCAATGGAGTTGGAGGAATCTAAGCCTGAGGCTTACCAAATTATTTAGTTGCGGCATCCCTGTGCTAATTGCCTGACGGTAAAGTGCAACAGCCGTCTCAGTAGCCAGCCATCAATCCCGGCCAATGGAGCTGAAAGCTGAGAGCTGGGAGCTGGGAGCTGAAACTGTAGCTCAAGCTGAAGCTGGAGCATTGGTTGGGGTAATTTCTGGCCAAGCCACCGCCGGGCACAAAAGTATAATACAGACCAGGATCGAACCAAGAACCAAGTCATGGGAAAATTTCCGTACACACACAATTTGGGGTTTGGCTTACGCTTGCTGGAGGAGGAGAAGAGAAAAAAAACTCAGTTTCGCACGCAAATTAAGATAATCGAAAGCAAATGCAGCAACGGTAGCCGCTCTCCATGGTTAGGTTCGAAAAGAAAAATAACAACAAAAAATACAACAAAAATGCTGCATAAAGCTACAGAAAAATCAGGCAAAAGAAACGGGTTTAGTACCCGGTAGCAACAAATCATAAAAATATGAAAAATTATGCGGCGGCGTCGGTGGTAGCAGCAAAAGCAGCAAAAGCAGCATCAGCAGCAGATTCTCCTCCAGCATCCTCCTCCTCCTCTACAGCTTCTGAGCAAATGACGATGTCCAAGACCCAATCATCGAAGTGTGCTTTTGGCAGTCCATCATTAAATTGTGGCTAAGATTCCAATCAAACATACAAGACGTTGTTGCCAGCTCGATTTCATTTCTCCCAACTGCGGTCGATGCGGTTTTCGATGTATTCGGTTCTTCGTGGTGGCGTGGCTCTGGCCTTTTGAAATATATATTGCAATGCGTCAAAATAAACACAGTAGCTGGCCGCCAGACTACTTTATGGGCTTTTGAGAGCAGTAAATTATATGGCTACGATTTACGGACACAGACAGAGAGAGAGACTCGTAAGTTGGCTAATTGATTGAGATAATTGAAGGATGGCCAAAGGATATGGATTTGAAGGTTGATTCTCTTGAAGATTTTCGAAGGATTAAAGCGAAAGTGAATGGGATTCTGGGAATGATAATTTTAAACATATATATACTTTATTTTTTAATATTTATAAGGAAATAAAGAACACAAAGAAGTTGTTTAATTGTTTTACAGCCTTAACCTCTCGAATTCATTAGTAAACTTAATCTTACTTTGATTTTAATACATTTTCCTTATTAAAAATTAAACTTAAAGATATATTACTTTATATTCTACCAGTTAAACAATAATCTAGAATATATATACCACACAAAACCAACCTTTCAATCTCTAAATAACAATACTCTTTTTACATATCCTTGCAATATTGATCCTCATTCAAATTTTAATGAGAATTTAAATATGTAATCTATATAATGTCTGTTCACAGGCTATATAAATGTAATGGTTATTGCGTATCCACCTTTACTATCCATCCAACTATATAGCCTTAAAGACTGGCAAGACACCATTCCTTCGACTCTCGACACTCCTCGCTCACCTGGGGCCGCCTCTCCTACCTTTTACCTATGTCCCGGCATATAATTTGGCTAAAGGCCGCAGCACCCCATGGTTATTAGATGGCCAACATTCTGTGCCCGTTTTTTTCTGAACTCTTTTTTTATGAACTCCTTTATTTTTTGTTGTTGCTGTGCTAAACGTCGCCCCGATGCTAATCTGTAGGTGTGTGTGCCAGAGCCAGCTAAAGGTATCGATTACTGCCACCGACTTACGCGGGAATACAATACAAGGCAATCCGCGAGAAGTCCTGCAGACAAAACAAGTGTTTGCCGCAAACACACAACAAAAAAAGGAATTCCAAGAAACACACGCAGATCCTCCGAGAAAGAATGGAAAGCATTGTGCGGCGCCGGGGCAATTAATTTAACTCGAACTCCAGCTCGGTGTGGGTTCAGGCCAGGGTTTAGGGTTACCCAAAGTCAGACACCGGAGTTTTGCCCATCAGTTTGAGAAGGTCCGAGAGGTCTGGCATTCATTATACGCCGTTTTGCACTATTTTTTCTTGTGGTGCGCCGAGAGAGAGAGATGCTGCAAATCGGTGCAGTTGAAGGGCGGTCCAGAGCGGAGTGGCCAGAAATCATTAGAGCTGCCCGCAAGCCCAATAGCCATGGCCTGGACCGAACTATATCGTGGGAATATGGCAAATAAACTCGCCCAAATTACACACACACACACAGTGCTAGAAAGGAGAAAGGAGTCGAAGTCGGAGGGGGAAAATCTCCAGCCAAAGACTAGACAATTCGCACAAGTCAAGTCAGGAGGAGAGAAAAAGACCCCAAGACGCTCCAGGAAAAAGTGCAATAAAAATTTGCGCAAATTTCGTGTTTCTTTTGGCCTGCAATTGGTATTGACTGACTGAGGTCTGGGAGTCTGAGTTGGCCAAGTCTGGGAGTGGACTCCGATGGATGGGGCTCCGCCAAATCCAACTGACGCCCCTGATGCATATTAAAACTCGACTTTGGATTGATATGTGCACTGAAACAAAAAAAAAATCCAGGAAATGCAACGATAACTTCAAAAGGAAATATTTTTAGAATATTAAATTTACTTGAAAAACCCCCAGATTTGATAAATATTCCAAGGAAATCATATGAAGTTATAAAACCTTTTATTGAAGGCCTTTTAGTTAGTGATATTTTGGGATATTTTCTTTGAAAACAGCATTTAAAAATATGAATACATCATATAATAAATTCAAGTCTTTTAATTAAGTGATATTTCAGGACATTTTCTTGGGGAAAAGTTAAGTAAAGGCTCTGAGGTATATAAAGTTGTAAAGATATAATATTCCTGATCATTTCAGATGCATTCAAATTCCCTTTAAAATTCCTCCCAGTGTACCCTTAGCGGGTGGACTTCACCTGGGGTAGATTGAGAAGTTCACTATGTTCTTGTGATTTATTCGCTGACCACATTTTTACGATGGCGCTCTTAGGGCTCTTCATAAAATAAAAAAATACCACTAGCGAAAGCGAAGGATCTGAGACAGCCCCCATAGATGCGCATTTAAAATCGATTTAATTTAATAGTTTTGGCATTATGTTTCTCCTTTCGGTTTATGTGCTAATTAGTGAGGAAATCGGGGGACGGCGATTGGCATTGCGATCATCGAAGGAATCTCAGCCAAACAAGATTTGTGCCTAATTTCTGTGGAGCACGTTAAGGTTTAGTACGTTTATATATATATATATTTATCTAGTTGAGGGCCAAGTACCTTTTGGGAACGTAAAGGTGGACCCGGTTTGATTAAGATCTCCTTGACTGCGCCAGTGGATCCCCAGTCGCAGATTAAGCATGTCGCTTGTGGAGCCACCAACCACCACAGTGGCCAATGGACTGGACTTGGATGAACCCACAAAACGCCTCGCTAAGAATCGTGTTTATGCTTTTAATTAGCAACAACAACTTGTACAGTAGTTGGTGGTGCTACTTAGTGCAGATTTCAAGGTAGCGATAGATATATTAAGAAATGCTGACATGTCTGGCTCACTCAGATAAATTTTGATGTAGATTACACAAGGGGTTTTCCATTCTCCACCCGCTACACTCCTGCCTCCTGATAAATCTCCTCTTCCCATTAACACGTTTTTTCGGATTTTTATTTTCTCTCTTCTTATTTTATTTTTTTGGGCATGCATTACGAAAGGATGATGGCATTATCATATTATCGCCCAAGCCACTGGCATCTTGTTTATGATAAATATTTAAGAAACTTATTAATTATGCCACAAATAGCCAGCCAGATAGGAGATCTTCGGAGGAGGCTTTTGACATTTTTAAGTAGCTAATTGGGAGAGGAACGTTCCCCGTTGACCGCGTGGGAGGAAGATGGGTTCGAGCCCAGAGGTGGAAATGACCAAAGTTGGTCTTTTGGGAAAGATACCAATCAGGCATAAAGCAATAGGTGATTTAATAGCTCTTAAACTTTTTAATTTTAAAATAAAACAAGAAATGAAGATGATTTTGAGAAGACAACGTTTAAATACCCTTGCAGTTAGATATAGAATTATGGATTAGAATATGAAATCGATCATAATTAAGGTAAAGGTGTAGTTTACTGATTAATATTTTAATTACAAATATAAATATATTTGATTGTTTGCCATAATAGTCTTGTTTTCATTCGTATACCTTCAATAAAACCTAAAAAAAAAGTGTATTCTAGGTATATTAAACCGATAACTTTTATGCTAATTTTTTGGTTAAATTACAGTTTTTTTTAATATCATAACCAAGCCAAAAATGCACTGATTTCAATTCGGAAAACGTTGCTATGTTAGTTTTGAGTAGGTTAATAAATCTGCATACTCAATTTTAAATGTAAAAAAAAAATGTATTTTTGTCAATTTTTCACCATTTTAACCCTTAAAATATTTCGAAAAAATTTCGAAAATTTATTTTTCCACCGAACATAGCTAGATCGATTCAGCTGTTGATGATGATCAAGAATATATATGATTTATAGGGTCGGAAATGACTCCTTCACTTCATTGTATGCTTCTGTCTTAAAGTATAATACCCTGAAAGATATTAAAAATACAATACAAAATAACATTAGGTAGAAAAATATTTATTATTTATTTTTCTTACTTAATTTACCAAGCTTAGAGTGGAAAAAATTTTCTGCTGTGAATTTATGTATATCAAATGGGAAAGTAATAATTTAAATAAATCTAGCAAAAGTACCTTGCATAAGAAAATATCAAAAATATCCTGAAAATTAAATATATACTGAAATCGTAAATTTCTATAAATATCGGAATTGACTTTCAAATAGCAATATATGTTTTTTTCGTGGTTTCAAGTTGGTTTGATAGTTCATTCTCCATTTATTTATTTTTTTTTGACTATGAACCCTTCACCACAGCCCACACATTTACCCCTTCACCCCAGAGAAGTGTCACCTGGTGGTGGTCACCTAGTGAGCGTCTCACAATCTCTGCCTTTAAATCAATATTCATTTTAATTGTACAAATCACCTTGACTTAAATGCGCCCCAGTGTGTGTGTGTGTGTTTGTGTGTGTGCCTTGTCGACCACTCAATTCCGAGTGAATTCTCTGGCCAAGCGAGATCTGTTCTATTATGGCCAAAGTGGCCATGTTACCAACTCGGCGTTCTGGCCACTATATATATTTCAAAGCCAGAAGGCGAACGAAGCGATCCACATGGCCCCCAAGCGTTCGATTGTGTGTTTTTATTATTTCTGTAGTGCTTGTTGCATGCAACACTCACACTCTCGAACGCAGTGAGATTGTTTTAAATGTTAACATGGCCATTTAGAGGCAATAACAGCGGCAAAATGGCAGACTGTCGAGACGAGAAAGCCAAAAAGGCGCGGGCACTTGCTGTTATTACAACAATATTACCAATATTTATCAAAGAGGCTTGAAAAATAATTCCCCTTCCAACAACAACAGCAACAATGGACAGTCCAACGTCAGCATAAATATATAATGAAAAAAAACAAAAAATAATAATAATACTCATACGCCGCATGCGCCGCCGCTGCATAAAAAGACAAATTTATGATTTATGAATTCAACCTTGTAAATAATATGCTCACAAAAGTACACACGGACAGTTTTGCTAAACGTTTGTGCCGCTCGCCGCTCGCCCAAAACCAGCAACAACAAATGCACTGAGAGAAAATATGGGAAGGGAAAATTAACACGAATATTATAACGCAGATAATAAAAGCTAAAGAAATAGAAATACATATTTGTAGAAATAGAAATTAGGAAATATAAATAGAAAATAGATAAAACAAATAGATATTAAAAGAACACAAAGTAGAAAATTAGAATAAATTAGAATAAGCTTAGGAAAAAATATTCTTTATAACATTATACTAAATATTTTTAAAAATTCATAACGAAACTGAAAAATTATGATCCTTTTCTGGCTAATATTTATTCTTCAATAGCTTACTGAATATTTGATAATAACTTCTTTTAATAGCTTACTGAATATTTGCTAAAATTCAAATATACTCTCAAATATTCTATAAAAAATTCTTACTAAGAATACACAATTTAATTAAACCAAAAAAATAACTTATAAGCACTTTGTACCAAAACTTTTCTCAGTATAGAATAAACAACGATCGTTCAGCGAATCGAACTGACCAACCTACTTGCACAATTTTTCCGCACAAGGCATGTGGCAAGTGTGCCCCACATCAACCACAGCACCACAGCACCACTGCCACAATCTGCTGCAACCACAGCCATACCGCTGCTGCATGTTGTATGATTTTTAAATGCGCGATGAGTTATTTATGCATCCGAGCATCGAGCTTCGAGTATGTGCGAGCCATCCTTAACCCATTGTGGTCAATGGATTAAAATGGCAATTGCTAAGTCAATAAATATGGGATAAATCAGTGGTTTTCTTGAAAATATATTAAATATATTCAATATCTTGGAAAATCTTGCAAAATGTACTCTTAATCAAGCTTAACTAAAAAATTTAAGAGACACATTTAGCGCCTTAAAATATTTCTCTCAAATATACCTATGCTTTTATTTTATATCTCCCAAGATTGTGTAGGAATTCCAGCTGTGAATGTAAATGTATTTATTTTATTCCATGACCATTAAAATGCTGTTAAGCATTCCTCGACTGACATTTACTACACCCGCAATGGGTTAATAAGCCCCAAAGCAAAGACACTCAAGTAGGCGGCTGTGAAAACACATGCAATGCCTGGCGGCTAGAACGTATCTACTATGTTTGGTTACCAAGTTATTAAGCTGTGATTCTACCTCATATATTCTAATTGTCGCACTCCATTTACAATTTCTTTCACCATTCCAGATTCGATGCAAACAAGTCGACGAAGGGCGCCTCCAAGATGCGACGCGATCTCATAAATGCAGAGATAGCCAATCTGAGGGATCTGTTGCCACTGCCCCAGTCCACCCGGCAGCGTCTCTCGCAGCTCCAGCTGATGGCCCTGGTCTGTGTCTATGTGAGGAAAGCCAACTATTTCCAGCAAGGTGAGTCTATCCACTATCCACATCCCAACATCGGAGCTAAGAGCCAGGCCGATCCGTTGCATATATGCATGCTGATAATTGGCGCACGTTGATTGAATATGCATGAGTCATGAGCGCTCCAAGATTGTGATTGTGCGCAGCCGCGAAGATTGAGACTGTTGGAGTGGAGGACTCCGACTTGGAGTTGGACCCACCACCGATTGCACTTGGGAAATGGTATTTGTCAGGGGAAAATAAGACATTTTCTAAAGGAAACTTAATGAAAAGTAGCTTTAAGATGGCATTAAGAAATAGGTTTTAATACAGTTTAAATCTGGTATTTCTTTGCTGGCAAATATGATATTTCCAAGATTTTTAAATATATTTATTTTCCCAAAATTCTTGGCTTTAGTTTTCAATATTTTCCCCCAGTGCTTTCGTTTAAATCGCAATGAAAAACCGCTATGTGCCCGGCTTCGTTTTGCTTTAAACCAACATCATTCATATGTCGGAGTGTCCCTCTATCACTAACCCACCCCTCCATGAGTTGTGCCATTCTCTCGACCGCTGGCTGAAAATTGTTTTTGGCCAAGTAATTGCCAAAGCGTCTAGGCACGCACCCAGGCGGGCCAAAATTGCTGCAGGCCCCTCGGACCCATCGGAATCGGATCGGTCCCCGGTCCCCTAGAGGTCCAAATCCCATCCTCCTTTAATGCGCATGCGCGCAGGTCAACGCGCAACCGAACAAGATCGTTCGCTCTTTACTTACCTATTTTTCTTTTCGTTGTATTTTTTTGTTTTTTTGTGGATAATTACGAAAATTGTTTTTCAAATTAGCGTTGTGCGGTACATAGGCCCATAGATAACACACCAGCCGGAGAGAGCCGGGAAACTCTTAACTCTTGGCTCGCATCGCGGACAGAAACGAGGCAAAGTCGAAGGAAGCCCCCATGTGAAACTATCGCAGATCCGTGGCACCACACCAGGGCAGACTCCTCCAAACCTCCAACTCCATGCGGTTTACCTGGGCAATTTCACAATTGCAATGGTAACAACGAGCGTCTGCCTGGCATTGCTATAAATATTGCGATAAATCAAAATGTGCGATTTATGTGTTCTACAAATTGCAAAAAATTAAACTTAAGTACTGCTCCTTTTTCCCATCCCCCCACCCAAAAAAGTCCTCACAGAGCTTTGCTCTAAGTGTGAGAAATTGTCGGCATCGTATCAGTATTGTATCTATATCTCTCAGTTATTTGGGTGTGTTGTTGTTCATTGTCATTGCACCGTTTAAAAGCATTTATAATCACAAATTGTGTTAATATTGGCACGCCATCGAAATCGCTTTTTATCTGCAAGTTCAATGGATTCGTTTGCTCTCCGTCTGAGTTGAGTTCATATATTTTTCTTCTGTGTGGGTGTGGCACTCCACAGATAGTTGCGATTAATGAAATACATATTTATAAAGCGAAATTGAGTTTTCAATACAATGAAAAAGGGGGAGTTCTTAACGCTTTTCATACCGTATTGCTATGCAAGATCCCGAGATCCCCGGCGGCTTGAATCACATTCAGATCGAAGACCGTATAATTGGTATTTAGTATTGTCGTGTTTGCTAGCGAATCTATATGTGAAGCTGTGAAGTGATCACGGATTAAAAATAGTTTTTGGCTGTAGTTCAAGGTGATTATACCGTTTTGTTTATCTTTGGGTTATTATTATTATTACAATAACATTTGCAATTCCAAGAGATTAAATTGTTGAATAAAATTAAATGGTTGTTTTGAATGTTTTTCTTTTAACTTTCATGAAAAAGATTAAGAACGTAAGGAAATCAAGCTTCTCTTTAGTTGATAGTTAAATACTGAGTTATTTATAGACAAATATAATTAAATTTTATAAAATTCCATATCAGTCACTTTTGTAGTTTATTTAGCAGTCATTTTTAACATTCAAGCTAAGATATTTCCAGTCACCGTTTATGTTTACATACAATTATTTCTAAAATTAAATAAAAGTACCAATACTTTAATGTTTAATTAATAAAGTGAATAATTTTAACATTCCATTGCCAGGGTTATATGTACAGCCAGAGTAGTACTAAAAACATTCCCTTGCCCTTGTGCATTGCGGCTAAGTGGAAAAGCATTGAGCACTTTGGGCCACTCCCCTTTTATTTTTATTTTTTTGGCTGACGACAGAGACTTCTTGGCAACACGGATTTCTGAGTATTTTGCCCGGATAGAGCAGTGGGGTAATATTAAGGCCCAGCAAAAATCCGACTGCATTCATGGCCTTTCCGTTCAAGTTCAATGAAATTACCAGTTGCAGTGGCTGTTGCTGCTGCTGCTGTTGCAGTTGCTGTTGCTGATGCTGTTGCAGTTGCTGCGGTGATTGTGGCCTGATGCTGATTTTGCAGTGGTTTCTTCTCGGTTGTTTTTGTTTCGTTTTGTTTGCCAGGTGCGGGAGTATCTCGTAGTGTTTTAAAAATAATTGATCTTGATGCTGCCTGAAATGCAGCTGCAAAACAGCAATGCAATTGCATTTAGCGATTGCAGCCTGATGTTGCTGCTGCCTGGTCTCACTGACAATGACACATTTTCTTTTTTGTGATTCACTTGTTTTTCCAAAGCGACAAACATCGCCGCCTCATTGTATGTAGAATATAATCAATGAATTAACTATCAAATGCATCTAACAATTGGCGTCACAGGGTGAGACAGAGACAGAGACCGAGTCCGAGTCTATTATTAACAGATAGTTTTTTAATTAGCCAGGCTTTTGCATACAAATTGCAACCATGGGAAAATACTCAATACGTACTCATATATCCACTTAGTGGATGAGCTCTCCCTGCTTCAGGTGGCCGCGCCTGCGCAAACTCACAAAAGGTCAATTAACTTAATTAGCATTATTTTCAAAGAATCCGTTTACCGTCTTTCCTCTCATTGCAGTTTTTAAACGTCACAATGCGATGCATCATCTACATCATCAGACAGCAACACCAAATATTGGCTTCTCAAAGGTAAGCGGATATGGATTTTCCAGGAAATATAAAGTACACTTCAAAGATAGATATTAAATAGATATAAATATAAGTAATTCTTTAAAGAATTAATCTTTTTATATAATAGTAAAATATAAGATTTAATTTTAAAATTATGTTGTCTTTATAGCTTTTAAAATTTAAAATTTAAAGTATTTCGATCATATTTTTATACATTTGCAGAAGTCAGAAGCTTGATTCCCAGTGAAAGAGTCATTTCCGACCCTATAAATCATATATATTCTTGATCAGCATCAACAGCCGAGTTGATCTAGCCATGTTTTAGGGAGAAAAGAATTTTGAAATTTTTTTACATTTTTTTTAGGGCTTAAAGTTGTCAAAAATTTGATCAAATTTTTGAATTTTTTTACATTTTAAATTGAGTATGCAGATTTGTTAACCTAATAAAAACTAACATTGTAACGCTTTCCAAATTGAAATTATTCCCTTTTTGACTGAGTTATGAGATTTTGAAACTTTGATTTGAGGAAAAAATGGCCATATAAAAATATCAATAAATGTCGATTCAAAGAATGAGCTTTGGTATGATGTATTTCCTATAATTCTATAATTCAATTGCAAACTGTAAGATAGTAGTTTCCTTTTCTGTTTATTACTATTTTTATTTCCTTATCCTGCTTAACATTTTTCGCCTAGTGTACAATTCATATTCAATCAGAGCGTAATTAGGAATCCGATTGTCCTATCTGCCTTCATTTAGAGTAGAGCTTGTGGCCGCTGTCTACCTTTTCGCGATGACATTTCGATTCCGGCTCCCAGGGAAACCGAACAGAAACAACTCAATTTAAGCAAAAGCAATCTCGGTGACAACTCAAGCCGAAAGTTCCCGGGAAAACAACTCTATTAATGGCACAAAAAGCCGGCCATATCATAAGTCAGAAATCATTTTGCTCGCCGCCACTTGCTGCGCCTTTTTGCCAAAAGCGAGAAGAGGATGCCGAATAACAATAAATGCCCGGGAAAGCCAGAGATTTGCAGGAGAGCAGCCACTAGCCACCAGACAGTAGTCGGTAGTCAGTCAAGCTGCCTGCCTGGCACTGACTGCTCCAGTCGGCCGAGATTGATCTACATACCTGTGCACACTCGTGACTGAATTAAATACTGTTGCCAGTTGTCAACGTGGGTTTTGGCCGGGCTTTTATGCTCTCCGGTCTCCGGTCTCCGGCCTCTCGTCTCCGGTCTTCAGTCTCTGGTCTCTGGTCTCTGGGCTTTGGGCTAACAATTTATTAGTGCAGAGACGCGAAAATGAATTTGCATTTTCAACACAAGATTCAATTTATGCTTTTTTTTTAAATAGAGGGTGTTAAACGAGAAGTTGCCCGGAGGCATGATAAGGCTTCTTTCCCATAAGTAGCCGGCTATTAACATAGGTAGCTTAAATTTTATTACAGTTATGGCTAAATTGGGTTCAATCAGGGGAAAAAGGTAATAAGGCAGAGTAAATAAATGACAATATTTTGTTTGGTTTTCTATCGTAAAATCACGAGAGTCAACATTATCTTTATTCAAATGCTAAACATAGAAATAAGATCTCATTTTAAGTGAATTGTAAGTGTTTACTATCATTTTCTAAACCAATTTTAGACAATTATATAAATACCAACTAGTTTTTAAAAGAAAGCCCTAAATACTATTCTGAACTTTTTGGTTTTTGTTAACTTTGTTTGGTATGGTGAAAGGATATAACAATGCAATTATATAGGAGATACTATATTACGAAAAATCAATGAGAAATTCGATGCAAACTACGATTATAATATGTATTAATAATATAATGTTATAAAAAGAATATAAAATACAAGAAATTCTTAGCCACTTATACATATACATATATAAAATATTATTTATACTTGGAATTTAAAAGAATTATATTACAAGCTATAAACTGTTTAACTGCTGTATTATAACACTTATTTACTTATTTAACCTTCTTTACTTATTTATCCTATGTATATATTATAATATCTCATTAAATAAATTTCATAAATTATTAATAATCATTTATTTTAATCAAAGCACCCTGTATTCATTATTTGTCTTTCCAGGCACTCTCCGGCTTTTTGATGATGCTCACACAAAATGGCAAATTGCTCTATATATCGGATAATGCGGCCGAGTACTTGGGCCATTCCATGGTAAGACTTTGACTACCTGGACATATTTGCGAAAGTTTTAGTTTGCAGTTTTAAGATTTTTTTTTTTTTGGTTTTTCGGCGGGCCGGAATTGTTACAACCGTTGATACAAATCTCTGACAAGCGACAACAAGCAAACGACGATGCCTGTCGTCGTCAGAGCATGTCATAGTCTTCCAGCAGCAGCAGCAACATTAGTGCTGCAGCAACATTAGCACAGCATCAGCAGCAGCAGCACCAACATCGGCACAGCAGCAACATATTTGATGCACTTTTTGTGCTGTACTAGTTGCTAGTTGCAAGCTGATGTTGTTGCTGCTCCCGTTGACAAGTTAGCAACTGTCTAAAAGACCCAAAAGAGCGACACACGGAGCCCGATTCATTGAGCTTATATAAATCCGTCCGATGGCTGGGCTGGTTTGGTTCCTTAAAAATCGCAGCTCGATTTTGCTGTTTTGTGTTTCAAGCTTTTGTTTATTGCACGTTTATGCCGCTTAAATAGCAAGGTTATACATGTCGGAATATATATACAACAATTTTGCAGTGTACCTATGTACCTGGCCTTTCACTTTGCGTTTGAACCAACGTTGTTTTTTAAATAAATCTAAGCGACCCGAGCGAGCACATGTGACATATCTCCGTTCCACATATAACACATGGTAGAACCGACATTGACAAAGGTACGCGAGATTAAAGCCCAGGTGATTGTCGGCTCTTCCAGTCTTCGACTCTAACTCGGCCAACGTGGCGTATGAGCAACGCAAAATTATGCCATAAATCAGAGAGAATGGCCTGTGTGATCCCAAACAAACTAAAAACCTTGATCGAAAAGGAAACCCTCCTCCACTTGTGTTCCTATTCCTATTTTTTTTCTTTTATTCGACCAGACAACCTTTCATATCAACTAAATGTTGCACTGCCCCCACTCCAAGTCAATAAGTTAGACAAGAACAAGCCAAAAGCAGTACAGGGGCACATAGACAAAAAAATATGAAAAAAAACCATGACATTTGACAGCCTTTTGGCCTTTGTGCCGGGCCTTATCAGGAGTTCGGAGGAGGCTAGAAGTCGAAGTGGGAGTGGGAAACTGGCCGCCACTAAGCTAAATGGTCAGTGGAGTTCATAAATTCGCTCGTATGCCATGTGTTGGCATAATTACGGGCCACGGGCGCGGGCACAATAGTAACAAACTGCAATTGCACATGGACAGGGCCCAAAAGTGGACTGCCCAACCTTTTAATTTGTGGCAAGGCTCTGAGTTAGTTAGCTGAGCAAGCCAAAGGCAGCCAAAGCCACCGACCAAGTTAATTAACAAACTGCCAAAAATGTCAATAGATCTTGGCCACATTGTTGCTGCTGCTGCCTTTGCTTTTTTGCCGATGCTGTTTTGCCGCTGCTGTTGTTGGGCATCATAATTCGAATTCGATTTTTGCATATTCCCATAACAAGTTGCCATTGTCATGTGTCATGTAGCGACAGTGGCCATAAATAAATTACAACCACAACGTCTGGCCTGCCATTATAAATTGGTCGATCGCTTGGTAAGTTTCGACTCTCTCCACCTCTCTCTCTCTCTCTCTGTTGGCCAGATCTCTTATCCCTGGCCATAATTGTCAACAATAATAAAAACTCATGACATAAACGGCCAGCAGGCAATTGGCAACAAACATTGCAGCCGATGAGCGTGCGAAAGCCAATAAAAACAATTTTGAAGTAAAAACAACAGCAGCCAGATGACACATCTTTAACAAATTAAGGCAATTGACTGACTAATTGAAGTTAAATTTGGAGGGGAAAGTGTTTATATTCACAGGATTTTAGGTGAACAATTGGGAATATTATTAAAGGAAAGATTTGTACATAAGGTTTAAGGATGTTTCCTTTTAAATATATAATTTTAGTTTTTATGTTATATTGTATTTTGTAAGCCTAACTATTTGCTGACCAATGTATTTCCGTGTTAACCATGTGTCTTCTATACCATACTCTTTATACAGGAGGATCTACTGATACATGGTGACTCCGTTTACGATATCATTGACAAACAGGATCACGCAACCATCCAGGCGGAGTTAAATCGGAACGTGCCACAGCAACCAGGTGGCCCAAGTCAAACGGGAAACAGCGGTGGTGCCGGCGACTCAACGTCCAGCAATGGTAGTGCCGGCGGTGGTGGAGGAGCTGCTGGTGGTGGAGGTGGTGCTGCTGGTGGCAGTGGTGGTGGCGCCTCCAGTCTCGAGGGCGAGCATCGCATGTTCCTCTGTCGCATGAATGTTAGCCGCAATGCGCGACGGCAAATGCGTTTCGGTGATCAAAAGGTGAGTGTTAAAGCACTGAAAAGAAAATATAGTATAAAAAATATATAAAAAATACATATATATACATTTTAAATAAGATATTTCCCAGGAAAGTGTATCTTTAGTTCTTTAATTAGTTACTAGGCTTCCTAAACCCATTTACTTAGTTATGATTTTTAAACCTTAAAGACTTTGATCAAAACCTGACTCTTCTCAAATCAAAACCACTTTATAACTCCCCATATTTTCTCTCTGTGCATATCTGTGTGCGGATGAGTAAGCGCGTGTAAATCTCTGACAGAAATTGATGAATGAATCACCTGGGAAGCGTGTTGCGTGTAACACTTTACCACTCCGCAGGCTCCACTGTCAGAGAGCTCTCCCCAGGTTCGACATCTTGCTCTGGCATGAATTATGCATGAAGGTAGGAAAAATGGAAATGGAGATGGAGTAGAAGTTGAAGCTTTGCGGGTTTTGGTTTCTCCACCATGCGTTTTTTTTTTTGTTTTTTTTGTGAGCCGGCGGCCAACTGGTCATACATCTTGGCAACGAGCCGGGTTTCCATAAGCTGACAAACGATGACAGTTGATGGGAAAACGGGTGGGTGCCACAGTCTGCTCTGATTGGCCGCCAGTGAGACTCAAACTCAAACTCATACTCAGACCAAGATGATGATGATGATGATGTGAATAAAACGAGGCAACCATATGAAGTTGTCAGTGTTGGCCGCTCTTCTTCTTAGCCATCTCAGCCGCAGGTTGAACAAGACAAGACCAAATCTGTCAACGTGTTGAGTTGCGCGTTGGTTGTGGCAGCAGCAGCAGCAGCAGCAGCAACAGCACTTACCTGATATGGGAATGACTGGAGACGGGTCTGAGGATGGGGACACATGGTCGTTGGAACTGCTACCGAGCTGCACATTGTGGTGGGCGGTCGCTTCACTTTTATTCATATCTTTTGCCGATCCGCGTCGCGTCCATTTTTTTGTTTTTCTTGGTTTTAACTCCGCTGTTGCACAGATGTGCAGCGAGCGGAATTATGGAGATAAGGCCAGGCGTTGACAGTTGGCTGAAAATGTTTTTAATTAAGTTGAGTGTTGGCAGTTAAGGTGCAGGAAGTGCCAGATGGGAGTTAGAAGTAGCAAAAGGTTTAAAATTAATGCGGTATCTAATTATAAGCAAGTCTTTCTTTAACCTTTTTAAACTCAATATGTTTAGGATCCTTTTAAGCCTATGAAAACCCTTAAAAATCTCACATAATCTTGACAAATACTTAAAAAAATGTTGTAGAAAATAAAAAGTTGTAGTTTACAGCCTTTCAAAATCCATTCTCAGCCTTGCTCACACATAGCTCAAGTACCTAATCTAATCCGTGTCGAGTGTGGTGCCTTGGCTTGAGAGCCACACTGAACTGAACTGGCGATAACCCACGGACCCCGGTCTGGGCCAAAATCCAAGCACATTCACTCCCAGGCCGGTACTCGTTAATATGCAATAAAAATGGACCAATAAATAATTATGAATGAGGTCAGGCATAGTTCAGAGCTAGTACCCAGACGACGACGACGACGACGACGACTGAATCCCATAGACAAAAGGCCCGAATAAAGTCAGAAGAAAATATAAAAAAAAACCAAGAAGAGACGGCGACAAAGCCAGCAGTGGCGCCTGCTCCCCAGCCTAAGGTCGTCTCATTTAACCAAAAAAAAACCCAGAATAAACCCCACAAAACGACTGTGGCGTCTGCGTCATCCGACGGTTATCCGGGCGGGTTGGGAATCCAGTATCAGGATCGTTGGGCTGCATTTGCATTTAAGCAGAAGAAGCTAAGCCAGCAGCCTCGAAAATGCAATTGAAGTTTTGGGACGAAATAAATGCAGGCACGTTTTAATTGGGAGACAATGGCTCCAGCTTCGAATCCAACTCCGGCTCCATCCAGACCCCAAGCCCAGCCAGAGACTGCCTGGTGTGTGTGTGTCTCTCTTGGCATACAAAACATTTCTGTGATTGCCTTTTTTAAATTATGGAATCAGAGTAAAATGTCTATGCGAGTCTATGCCTCAGCATGCCGTACCAAAAATGGCCATAATACTACTCCCAACTGTCCCAGGTTAAGCGCCAATTTTCGTGGGATCTCATGTACAAAAAAAAAACAAAAAAAATCTTGCAAACAAAGCTCATTGAATCTCCATTCCTTCTCCTCCTTTGCCTTACAGGTTGTCCTGGTCCAGGGTCACTATTTGTCATACCTGCCGCTCTGCAGCCGGAATGAGCCCGTCTTTCTGGCCACCTGCACACCGATAGCCATGCCCGAGACCAGGGAATGTGTGGTGCAAGGTGCCACCAATGTCTTCACCACGATCCATTCGATGGACATGAAAATAGCCCATATCGACAAGAAGTGAGTTGTATTAAAATACCCTATTAACTTAATTATATCTATATGTATTATATATAAATATATTGCTTTTAGTGGCGAGTTTCACTTGGGTTACGACAAGAGCACGTTACAGGGCACCTCCTGGTACAATCTGATTCACAGCGAGAATCTGAGGGAGGCGCAAAATAAGCACAGACTAAGTAAGTAAAGGATGGGGTTATCAATTTAAATTAGTTTACAAATGGTTTGAGGAATTAAAGTAAATTCATTTTTTATCTGGTCTTAATTAGTTGTGAAATAATCTGTATATACTATGTATTCATTTCGGAATTTTAATTCAGGTTTTTTCCTATTGAATTAAATAAATATATAAACTTCTAGTTTTGAATTCTTAAAACCAGTTTTCTTTAGAAACGAAAGTTGTTTAATGATTTTTATTTTAATGCGAATACATTTGTTTATTTGTTTTTGTTTTCTTCATATTTTATTAACTTAATTTGATTTGTTTTTTCCCGATTTTATAGTCACGCAATCGGAGCAGGATCGCAGTTGTATCCTTTTAGTGCGAATGCAACGGTCTAGTGGCGAATATACCTGGGTTCATGTGGTTCTACAGGTGCGAGACAGTCCTGATTCCACTCAGCAACCTGTCATTGTATGCACCAATCAAGTTCTCAAGTGAGTTTGGCAATATTTCAAGTATTCTTATTATTACAAATAATAATAAAGTTAGTTATATATTACTTATATTATTAGTAAATAAACTCTTTACTTTTAAAGTACTTTAAAAGTATCACAAGGTCTTTCTACAACTTCCTAACCCTTAAATCCTTGATCACCTCTCTCTCCCCTCAGCGATCGCGAGGCTTCTATAATGCTGGCCAATTCCTGGCTGTATCACTACTATACCGTCCAGTCGAAGATCCAGTTTGGCATGCCCCTGGACAGTGGCATTCGTGTGCCACCTGGTACCCCCTCCAGTGGTGGTTACTACAGTCCACATTCATCACACCCACCAACCACACCGGGTGGTGCCACACCCAGCCTAGGCATAAGCGGTACCTTTGGTAGTCACCATCATGCCCATCATCCGCACTCGCATCCGCATCATCATCATCATCATCACCATCCAGCGGCTGCCTATCATCATCATCCGCATATGGGAACCTATGGCACTGGGGTATATCACGCAGATGCTGGCATAGAGATCAAAGAGGATCAGCCACTGTTCAGTTTCCAAGAGCCCGTGGACTACAGTCAGGTGAACAGTCAGGTGAGCCCTCCGAATGCCGCCAGTACTCCCAATCCGCCTGTCCCCAAGTCTGCGACTCCACCGCCACCAAAGAAGAGGGCAAGGAAGCTGGAGCCACTGTACCTCCACGCGGAACGTTCTCCAGCAGCTGCGATTACTCCAGAGCCGGACTGCTATGCCCTTCACTCCCATCCAGCGGCTGCCTATGCCACCTCCTCATCGGCGGTGGTCAGTAGCTCCGATGCCTCCGTCATATATGCCACAATAGTGCCGACAAGACCGCGGTTGCCCAATAAGACTCTGCCCCCCGATCCTGCCGACTTCATAGAGCAATGGAATCCCAGTCCGCCGTGGTCAGAGTCGGCACAGAAGGCCTCCCTGGATAGCTTTGGGTCTTCCCATGAGCTGAGTCCTTGCATAACCACCACACCACCCACACCCACCAGTGCCACGCCCCATAATAGTGGACTGGGCACCCATGGGAGCATGGGACCTGCCTTTAGCTTTGAGTGGATGTCGGATCCTTTGGTACCGGTGACCTACCAGCAGTGGCCGCCCACGGGTGATCATCATCAGCATCTCTCCCAGCACTTGAGTCAAAGTCAGGGTCATCAGAATCCTTTGCTGCAACAGCAGCTCATCCAGCAGCATCAACAGCAACAGCAGCAACTATCCCAGCAGCAGTCACATCTCCATCAGCAGCAGCAGCAGCAGCAACATCAGCAACACTTAGCACTTCACCACGGGCGTGCGGAGAGCTCCCTGGAGGGGGGCTCCACTGCGACAGATCGGGGTATGGGGGTGGTTGTGGTGCCAGCAGCCCCATCGATACCCATATCGATACCCATACCGATACCGATACCAACATCCACGGGCCATGGGGATGCCGGGGAACCGGTTGAGGATAGAGGTTAGTAAATTATTATTTTCCTGCGTTTCTTTTTGATTGGCACGATTTCCAGAAAGCTGCGGCCAATTGGCACTCGGCTGCTAAGTAATTAAGGCCGCTCGAGTCAAAACAAAAGCCGAAAACTAGAAAAAGACCTAACTTAATTATTGATAAGCTTCCGCCAGTCATATGCCACGCTTATGCTAATGCCTCCCCTTAATGTCCGTACCCCTCCCGTTCATTGCAGATCCCAAAAATTAGAGGAACCCAGCAAAGCTTGGAAATACCCAGAGATCGGAATAGATCGGAGCGGAGCGGCCTGCCATGGCGGCCAGGTGATAATCACACTTAAATTAATTGCCACTTGTCATCTTAGCGTTTAAATTATTTTTATCTAACGAAGAAAACAACGCTATAACACATTCGTTTCTCGATATAACAACTAATTTAAGCCTGAGCCCTTTTTACGTTTTCAACCATTCAATATTTTGTACGTGCAATCTGGAAAAACCACACACTTAAAAAAATATAAATATATATATATTCGAGTAGCAGTTGGAAATTAGTTTTGCGATAAATGGAAACTAAAGTGAAAAATGCGAAAAATAAAAAATAAAAGCCAAGAGAGCTCTATTAGTTGTAGCTTCTTTATTAGCGTTATTTTTATGGCGCTCGCTTAAAGTTTTTACGAGTATTTCTTTGTATTTTGTATTCGTAATATTGCAACTATATGCACACATATCGACTATTTAGGTTAATTATTTTATTTTATTTATTAAAAAATTTATTTATACACATATTTATTACTATGCTTTCGTATTTTGCTTATTGAATAAACAAACTTGTAAAGTATTTTCGTTTAAACTTGAAGTGTTTAATTCAAAGGGTAAAGGTTTTTGGGTTTGAAAAGGGAATTGGGGTTAAGGGAAAATTTTAAATACTTTTTGAAGCTGTATAATAAAATAATTACTTAAGGAAAATGGGCAATATATATAAACAAAAGTACTTAAAATTAATATAAATATTGTATATATTTTTATATTTATGCGAAGCGCAAAGAACAATTGAAATTTGAAATGCAGCCAGTAACCACTTCATTCTTTCAACCAACAAGGATTTAAAAAAAATTCTCAGCATTCTGCTTGTATTATCTATTTTATTTAAATTTATTTAAAGTACCATTTACTTATTAATGAACTTCACTTGAAACAAATCCCTGAACATATCATAAACAACCCCAAAAATCTCAGCAATTTACCATTCGATCACTGATCACAAGAGGACAAAAATCGATTACCATAATAGGAGGAAAAGCGTTTGGGAAAATGTCATGATTTTCTTTTTGGGGTCCATTAATGCCTTGCACTCTGAACCAGCCGCCGAATTCGAATCTTTCGCTTTCGCCCAGAAAAAATCCAAGCCCCCAAAGAGCCACTCCCACTCCTAGAGACATTCATAGACATTTTCAATTTCGAACTACGAAGTACGAGTATGCGAGTATGAGTATGAGTCCGAGTTCGAGTATGAGTATGGGTATGAGTATGAGTACGAGTACAACCACTTCATGGTGACGACGGACCCGCCGATGAAACCCCAACGAAGACGCAGAACAGACGCCAGACTTTCAGTGGGATTTCACACACAGACCCACTCGAGGAGGAGGCTGGCTCCTTTTTTTTCGGCTGCTGCTGCTGTTGCCAAGATCTTTTGGTGATATCCAACAAATATTGTAAGTAGAATGGCCAACAAAATAACCAAAAAAAACAAAGCAAACAAAAAACCAAGTGAGGAGAGAAGAAAAAAAACTTAACTGAACGGAACGGAACGCTGACGATGTAGACGCCGCAGCTGGCGCGATTGAATGACTCCTCGTCGTCGGTCGTCTGAGATACTGACTGGCTATGTGGATATTCGAATAATGCACTAAGAGAAAATATTAGTAAAATTTACAAGAATTCCAGACACTTTATAGAATGAAAATGAAATTCCTTAGAGGAGATTTTATGCCTCTTTTAGTTGATACTTACTTTTTAAGCTTAGGAAGAGGGTTAATTCTTATAGATTTAATTTTCTTATTTGAAGAGTAATATTTTATGGATTTTCCTACATTTTTCTTCATGTAATTCTGTGTCTTTCGATGGAGATGGAGACCTGGGACTGGACGACGACGACACACTTACAGGCGACGACGTCGGCCAACAGCAGCAGCATTCTCAGAAATATTGGTGTAGGTCACAGTCGCAAGATAACGCGCTGGGGGAAGGAGCTCGGGTTGGGTTTTGGTAGTTGGAGCTTCGAATTCGGCTGGAGATTGAGGCTGTATGTGTGTCCGTCCTGGCCTCATTGTATGCAAATGTGCCACGATCGCCACCCGCCCAGACCGATTCCAATGATCCTCCTTAACAGATCCCTGCCCCGGGTCCATCCATCGGTCACCGGTGCTCTTCATGGGTGCCAGAATCGTTTTGTGTGCAAGTTACTCGCTTTTGCGTTTTTTGTTTGGCTTTTTTTTTTTTGGTTTTTTGTTTTCTGTTTTTGTTTTTTTACGATTTTTTTGAGTTGTGCGATTTTTGGCATTTTTGCATTTCCTTTGTCCTAGCCAGAAGAGATGCTTATGTAAGCGACAACGACCGGGGCAGAGACGTCTCCTGGCCGAGGCTGCAGGAGCAGGAGCAGGAGCACGAGGACTGTTACATATTTCCTTTAAGCCTTTTAATATTAGCCAAAAGGCAAAAATCACATAAAAGAGCCATGGTCATGGCTGAAGTTATATATTATTGAATTTGAAGTACCCTTTCCCCTAAGTTTATATTCAAAATAATATTTTTGACGGAAGTGATGAGGAATGACTGATGCTTTCTTATTTATTTAAAACTTATTGAATCCTTGACACACCTTTTATATTAATATATTATTTGTTTTACTAAAAAATAGGTAGTTCTTAAGTATATAATGAAATAATTTCTTAGGGATCCTCTTTTAAATTTAAATATTGCTTTTTTTAGTGTTAATATATGTTAGTTACATTACTTGGATAGAATATTATTTGATTATAAATGATGTCCTATATAACTTCTCTATCACCTTAATCAAGGTACTCCCTTTTGAAAGCGTATTTCAAAAAGGTAAACAACGCAAAGAAATTTATTAATAAACGTCGACGACAATGGGAATGCTGTGCAAAACAAAACAAAACATTTCAACAGGAACAACATGTAATTTTTGTACCACTATTCCCCTTTGGATCTCCACCATCCTGCTGAGCCTCCAGAGTTTTGTTTTTTTTTTTTCAGTTTCAGAGCCTTTAAAGCCTCCCACAATCCCGGCCATATGCAATGCCTTGGCTGGGGGTCACGACACTTTTTGTGGCAGCAAAAGTTGCAGCAGCCACAACAGCAGCAGAGAGCAGGGCCGAGTAAAATAGTGGGAGAAGTATGGCAAAGTAAGTCCCTCCTGAAGTCTCCCCTTCGGGCTCTTGGCTTATTGTCTTGGCCCCGGCTGGAGCTGGGAGCTGGGAGCTGGGAGCTGGAGTTGGGAGCTAGGAGCTTGGACATTGCGCAGACCCTGGAACTGAACCCGGACCCGAATCCGAATCCGAGACCGAGACCGAGACCGAACCTATCTCTCTGTGGCGACTGCCTGGCGTCAAGAGAATGCGTCGAGCTTGTTGCCTTTTGGCTTTGATTTCGCATTGTGGAACTTTTCCTAGGAAAAAATGTTACATGAAATTAATAAATAGGCAAATAAATGTTAAACAGCTGCTGTTTTGTACGTGTTCTGTTGCACGCGCACGGTAGCCATTGTGCTGCACACAGGGTGGTGCCACAAGCCTTGCTAGAGCCTTGAATCTGTTGCTGCCACAAGCTGATGCTGGTGGCGATGATGCTCCCCAGGTATTTGCATAACACCACGGATAGCAAAAACAAAAAAAAAAACAAAAAGGATACCCGAGGAATCGAGGCCTGCTTCTATCGCTCTTTCCCAGGCCCTAACCATTTATGTTACTTCCTGCAAAGCGAAACTTGAAGCTCTTAAACCACAAAAACATGCACTGCAGGTAAATGTTTTAAAGTGACAAATACAAAATATACAAAGTAATATTTTTAAGTATTTTCTAGTTAAGATATCTAAGCTAAACAATGCTGCTAAGATATTATTTTTATTTAAATATTTGTATATCATATTTAACATATTATTTTCCTGTGTACTAAGCAGTATCTTGAGGCCCTTTCGGGGGTCTTTGGATTGTCTTCGCTCTGCCACTGCATGCCAAATCATTTTTATGCAGTTCACAGCAATTGCCATTGGAACTAATGCAACCAAGCACTCTTTAAAAGCCAAATATATTCCGCTCCGCCCTCACCAAAAGCTATAAGCGAATATCGTAACTAAAATAACAAGAGCCCCAAGGAGAGCTGTCCATTAGGTTATCCTACAAAGGAGATTTGCAGAGCATATTTGTCTTAAAAATAAGAGAAAATAAATATATATCTGAGCTTAAAATAAAATTATTTTGTATTAATATACTTATTTTGCATTAAACTAATAAACTGAAAGGGATTTTATGCCTTAAATGTGTTGATTATGTGTGATTTATTAAAAAACAACTACTTATTTATATCTAAAATGCACTTTAACTATATAGTACATCTAAGAAATCTTGTATCAAACTACAAATACACAAAATTCTATAAAAGATCTTTCCTTTCCCAGCTCAAATCCTTAACCAACTTCAGTATAAAACCCCACTTTACCTTCGTTTGAATTTCAAATGTTTAGAAGGCGGCATTTTGATGCTATATTAATATGTAAGCTGCGCCACAACCAAACAGCAAACATAATAATTCGTCTATAATTTATACACAATTGTGGATAAAATGTGTACAAGCATAATTTACACATAAACAAGGCTGAAAGCCAACTAACAACGGACCGAGGAACAAGGCTTAGAAGGTGCAAAAGAAGCCTGAAAAAAACAGGCAAGGAAGATGAGTGCGGACCAGGTGACTGAGAAATTGATCAACGCTGTGGCGGGACATAAACTAAAAGCTTATTTAACATTAATTTCGCCACGAAAATCACAGAGCAATTTTAAACATAAGTTACAAGTAGATCAAGAGGGAGAGGAGAAGTGAAGCCCCTTGGAAGCTGCGGCCAACATGCGAAATCCTTACCCCACCACCTGCCCATTCTGCAGTCCCGTGTAATCTAAGCTGCCATTAAACAAAATACAAGAAAAAACTTACGAAAACATATGCTACATATTACCTCTGTGGGGCAAGGTGAGGCGTACCACCTGAGAGGGGGGTGCAGGTGGAAATAGGGAAGCGAAGAGATACCATGGGAATGAATAAGATTTTTTGCAGTAAAAAATATTGTACTTTTTCGATTTAATTATATGCTAAAAAAAAAATTAAATTAAAGATGAATATTTTATTCGTATACTCGAAATTTACTAACAATTTTGACTTACTTAAATATGTTTTGTATTCAATTAAAATGTATTTTTATCGTTAATTTTATTAAGTCATGGGACTTTATAC